AATTATTTGCATTTATAAAGTGCTAGCTTAGCAGTTTTTTAACAAACTAAAAATTGACCTTCCCCACCCCCTCCAACAGTGTATATAAATGACAAAAATTTCATAAACTTATACCCAAATATTCAAATATAGACAAAATATTAGAAAACTGAATATATGAAAATATAAGGTAAATGCAAGAAAATTACTAAGTAATATTTAAAAATTTTCAAGCTTATGATTCTTTTTCAAAATTTTTTGGGATAAAGCCCCATGCTGCAGGTTTTATATCCTATTAAGTTAACTTGTGTGTTTTTCTTTCTTTTTAAAGAACTCCCCGCTGCATACTACACACTGTCTTTTCACCATTCACATCTATATATGAATTTAGAAAATGATGTCCATCTAATTGTAAAGCACTGGCAATGCAGTTTGTAGTTTTGTGGACTTATTTTCCTTGCATCATGGGACTGTATGCGGAACATCTTTTCGAAATTCTGAAGACGAAATTGTAGGTTACTCATTAGTATAACCTAAGATAAACCTTATTTAATGTCCCACCACTTCTACTATGCACTTAGATCCTGGTGAACTTGGCTCTTTTTATATCTTTCAAAAATAAATTTTGAAAATTTGTTTCATCAACTATAATTTTAATAATTCCCTTTGTGGTGTGTGTGGGGGGGGGGATCTTAATTCTTCAACTGGGTCTGAATCACTATTTGCATGCTTCAAGGATCAACTCAATAGTCAGATTCACTGCCACTTCTATTCAAAAGTTTCATTCATCCATTTCTTTATCTGATTCATTCATCAATTTAGAAATCTTGCTCTCAATTAATCCGAAACTGCAAACAATACTTTTAGTCTGATCCCTAACCAATAACTATTATATCCTTTTCCCACTCAGTCAAAACATAAATGAACACCCAGCCCTTTAAAATGCACAGTCAGAGTTGTTTATATGTTGAAATTCCCGATTCAACCCCTCCCCCCGAAAAAAAAAAAACTTGGATCCGAAACCACATATTGAAGGTCAAAGTTCTGCAGAACATTTTTCGAAAACATAATGGGCTTCAACCACCATCTAGTGCTTTTTAAAAACTTTAATAAAACATTCCAATTTGACATGACACTGGTGTGATCATGGGCCTCAAGACTCAGAAAGGCTTCTTACATAATAAAATATTATGGACTATATTGAGAGAATCACATGATCACATATGTGTGATCATGGTAGATCACATATGTGTGATCATGGTACTGAACAAGTTAAAATAATTACTAGATTGCACTTTACACATGCACAGTTTTAATGGGTAATTAATTAAGACAAAGAAGTTTTTATTTCTGAATACCTTCAAGAATATTAGCAACTAATAAATAATAAAAGTGCTGAAATATAATGATATTTGTATATACTAGTGCAGCACAAAATAAAGATAAATATGTATGCAATTGATAATTTCTAACAAATTTCTCTTAATTGCATACTTTGCAGCATATTTTATTACAATTTTCCTTTTAACTTTCTGTTAATTGCGCACACCTCACAGATGCATCACTACTGCACTTCCCCTTCCTCTGCTTTCAATACATGCTCCCAGGAAAGGGGCTTCATGTTATCTTCCTAACTTATGATTACTCAGCGTTCAGTGTGCAACCGAGCTTCAAACTTCTTGGTGCAACATTGCAGCAGCTCTGTTTACACACAGGTAAAACACGAGCATTGGCATAAATATTTTGGATGTGATATTCTTATGAATTCTATATTTTCTTTATTTAATCTTATTTTCTGCAATTACTAGGATATTTTTGGTAGATTATAAATCAATAGTAAATGCAGAAAATATTGTAATTTCCCAGGTGTTGCAACGTGATTAAATTTGTTTTCCCTCCTCTAGAATGGATTCAAAAAAAGAGAGCCCTTGATTTGAATAAACCCAATGATATGAAGGTCATTCACAGATGATTCACACATGATGATCCGATGGAGGAGGAAGATTTTGGAGATTAATCTAATATTGATAGTGGGGACAATCTTCAAGAGTGGACCCAAGATTCAGAAACGGAGCAAAGCGATGTTAATTCATCATCTGAGGGCAAAATTCTGATAATGGTATATAATACACAGTCTTTCAAAAGAAGAATGGAAAAACTGTTGATTTTTACCAATGGAACAAATGTCCACATCAAGCATGAAGAATACCAGCAAACAGAATTTATTGGTACACTTACCAGGTGTGAGTGGTGATACAAGGAAAGCTGAGACAATTTTAGATTCTTGGTTACTTTTCATTGCTGAATCAATTCTCAACACTGCAGCAGAATGGACTTAGTACACTGATCTTGCAAGATATAAATGCTATGGTGACAATGCAAAAAACTGCAAGACATTCAGATGTCAATTAGCTAAACATCTTGTGGTAGATGAAATGATGAAGTGAGAAGAAAAATGTATCCTCAATACTTTACCTTAAATTGGCAGAGATCAGGAAACAACTTTTTCGAGCCACAGAAAATACATTTACGGAGTCTAGCAATCCAGCCAAAAAACAAACATTGTGCGAGCCAAGCCAAAACAATAAACAGTGGAAAAATGCAAAGTACACATGTATTACTAGCAGAAAATGCTTATGTTTGAGCCATGTATCACACTAATCACTTGTAATGACTGTTATGCTTGTAAAAATTCCAGTTCTGAGGAAGACACAGCCTCTAAAATAATATTTTCTCTTGTACATGTGATATTGGAATAAGTAGATGCTATACAAGACTCCTAAAGTTTTTTTCACAAATTTACTTTCATTTGCTTCATTTTTTGTTCAATTAGTTGTGATAGTATGTTTGAATAAATTTTACTAATTAAATAAATTGCTTAATACCTAATATTGCTTTTAAGTACCTTAAATAGTTAATAGTTAACTGTTTAAACTAGGATAAATTTCACTTGGCCTTCAAAAAAAACCAGAAACACCTCATACGTGCAAAGCGACTAACCATGTCGGAAAGAAAGGCACAACTAATGGAAGGTTAACCCTTTAACTGCCACAGATTGGATTGGATTGGATTATTTAATTATGGCAAAGCACACGAGGGCTATCTGCCTAAAGGGAGGGATGCCTTCGTGGAGGACTTTCTAAGGGAACCTGGCTCGTATACACGTACGTTACACATGGGGGAAAACCACGAAAACGCCCATGCAGCCAGCCCGTTTGCGGCGATTTGAACCTCAGAACGAACTATCAGTGTTCAGCATCTTTACCGCTCGGCCGCTGGTGGGCCCATAACTGCCACGGAAAACATATAAGATTCACTCCCCAGTGCCACCATTTTTTTTTTTACACAGGCATGTGTAGTTATGTAATGTATTGGGGGGACATAAGTTTAGCTATCTAAAAACTATTTACTTTCACAAAATAAAGAATAAAAGACAAAAGTGAAAATACAAAATTTAATGTTTAGAGTAAAAGTATAATAAGAAAGATGCAAGTACAATAAAAATGATCCCCCAAAATGGAGTTTCGATCAATTTACTTGCAGACCAGTAAAGTGTAATATTAAATTTCAGCATTATACCTTGTAAAATCAGTATACCCCTTCCCTGGAAAGAAAAAAGAAAAAAAAAAAAAAACATATTTTTTCTGAATTGGCTGGATGCCACAATTTTGGACTCGACTTTTCTTTTGCAGGATGTTGGTTCATATACAGGTCTGTAAAACGGTTAGTTTCAGTAACAATATGACGCACAATTAGTTCATCAAAATATGATTCAAAAAAGGCTATTGGGCTTGAAACATCCACTATATCTTTTCTTTCTTTAGTCCTGACACCTAATACAAACAGTACACGAAAATGCAAGACAGAATAAAAAATATATGTTTTACTGAAACATAAACACGCGCAATAACTGCGCAGTCATTATGTTCACTACCACCTACTGCAAACAATAAATGAAAATAGTAGGCAGAGGGGGAAAAAAATACATTTTTACTCAAACAGAAACACGAGCAATAGTCGCACAGTCATTAATTTCACTAAACATCCCTCTCTCCAATTCCTCCCTGTCTCCTCTGAAAGAGTATCCTCTGCATACTCTATCGAGGTCCATTCCAAAGCTTTGCAAATAATTTTACTGGTATCAGCGCAAAGCAAATTACAGTATTTTGGAAGGGTGTATATATATGCCCTGGGCAGTTGATGCATCGGCTGAGAAAGCATATATATATGACCACGGCTGTTAAGGGTTAATGAAGGTGCTCTATGCATATTAAAATAAGATTACATACTAAATTTAAAAAATGAATTGCATAAGACTTTACAATAGTGCATTAAATGATTTCGCTACATAACATTAAAAAAATTCCTTTTGTATTGATATTTTTGAAATGTTTCTCATTTAAATTCACTTAAAAAAAATTGTATATAAACCTAACTCTTTTCTATAACAAAGAAATCTGCTGCTCAATGAATAAAAATTTTAAATTATGCAAAAATATGTAAGCACAAGCTAGTCAAGTATTACCAAGATAACATTAATTGAATAATATATCTTATTTTATTTGCATATTTTAATTCCTTTCCCTACTAATTTTATCATTTGAAATCTAGGAGGGGAATGAACATATGTGGTGTGTACTATTTCTAATAGTATGCCTTTATGTGTACTTTATAATATGCTATGTTTAAATGTTAAACATAGCATATTACAAAGTACACATAAAGACATACTATTATTATATTACATATTTCAAAGAATTTAACAATTTCAATATTATTCATTTCACTTGCACAAAATAAACATTACTAATACACAAAATAAATTTCTATACACTTTACATTGTTAACATAAATCAGAATTTTCTAATTTATACTCTTAAAAAAACTAGGGAGAAAAGTTCAAATAAATATGGTATTTAGGTTTTTATAAAATCTGGACATCATCTTATTTTACAAAAAGTATCCAATCATATAAATAAAATCTAAGAAGAACAATAGACATATTCATAATAAAGGCTTACTCAGGATAGCCTTTCCATTTCAAAAAATACTCAACACGTCCATCAACGATGCGCTTGTCAAGTACTTTCTCCACTTGATAAACTTGGCCATTCTATAGAAATTAAGAATATAATTACAATACATTCATCAGAGTTGAAATTCAATAGAGGAAAATACTGTTCAATAAACAAGACAATAAAGTTGGTGATTAAACAAATATTATTAGTATGTATTATTCAAAAAAATTATAAAAATAATAACAATGTCAGTAACAATAAAAACAGGCAAAAGACTTCTCTTTATGCATACAGTATTTATAGTAAATTATCAGGTTTAACACAGCACTTGGATGAAAATGTTTTCAAAGTGAATTTTTTTTAATGACAAAATGGAAAGACCATTACTAATAACAACAACACAATGCTGCATTATCTTTCAATCATAAATATTTATACAATAATTCATAGAAAATTTTATGCTTTTAAAAGTTTCAACTTTATTTTGAAATGTACAATTACAACTTGGAATGTACAACATATTTATGACATGTTGCCCTAGATAGCATTGTGGTTATTATAGACTGACTACTAACCCAAAATCAAAAGAGTAAGTTCAACTCTCATGTAAGGTTTAACTAAATATATGCTGTCCTATCTCCTCTTCAGAGGTATTATACTGGTCACCTTCTTTGGCACACTTCAGGCAACCAGCAGCAGTCTCAGAACTCTACTATCAAAACTTATACTATATGCTATTTATTATAACACTATATTTTTTTCATATCCTTATTTCATAATGTACTTTTCAGAGCTGACTATTCTTTGCACAAAATTAAAAGATTACATTGAGAATTTTTTCTCCTATTAACAGTGAGCGGATACAGCTGCAATTCCTGAAGGCTTAATTACAATTTCAAAATCACTCGATGTCTTAGTTAATAAACCATTTAAGGATGGCATTCAAAGCTTTTATGCACAGATAGATGTAATTACAATTTGATGCACAAAGGTAAATTGCAATGTCTGAGTTCAAAGACAATGTATAAAGGGTTTACAGTGATACGGAAATTAATTTCAGCGATAATAATAGAGTATTATAATAAATAAGGAATTTTCTGATTCTGAAAATGAAGACATTTAAGATTTTGAAGTTTCAAGCACGAACAGTGAAGCACTAGAACAATTCATTACAATTTTGGTGTAATACTGCTCACAGTAGAGCTGATTATTTTATTTCATGACTTCTTTCTAACAATTCTTAGATGCAAGAATAATCAATCATCGATGCAGTTTTCTTTTTCTCAAGATAACTCATACTTGACAAAAGGAGACAACTTACATAATGCTTACTATAAATTATTTGAAACACATGTATTAATTTCAAAAACATCAAACCTAGCCACTAGTGCAACTTTTTATTGTTTTCAATTTATTACTTTAATACTTAATAACCTTCCAGATTAGAAATAAAGTATCTTAGGCTTTACTGAACGGCAACATGCTGTGCACAGAAAATAAAAGTATTTATTTCTAGCTGTGGCAACCCATTGCTTTTATACAGCTGAGTTGGTTAATTAAAATTGAAGGATAAATCTTACATTTTTCCGAATGGCATCAGTCTCGTACACTGGAGATAAAAATGTTTTATTTCAAAGTACTGCCATTGTTCGCTTTCAAATCATTGAGTTTGTTAATCAAAAATTTATTGAAGTTTTATAAAATATCAAATAAATAATAAAACAAATTTGAAGAATTTATGTACTGTCATTTTTTCACAATGTGAGGAACAAACATACAAACATGCAGATACTTCATTACCAAATTTCTTTAAAAACAATACACGGTGACAATATCTGGTGGCATTCCTGAAAGTGATACTCCATTTATAGTGAAACAATGCTAAATCCCATTTTGAGAGTAATAGCCCCCTTTGGGCTAATAATAAAGTAATAACACTGGATATGCAAATTTATGGATTTCCACAAAGAATGAGTTTAACTTTGCAAGTCCAGAACTGAACACAACCTCTGCATTTATATCATATTATTACACACTTTTTAAGGAAATCATTTATTTAAAATGAGTTGAAGTAAGAAATAGAAAAACAATTTCAGGCTTGGTTTTTACATACATATTTAAAATTAAAGCTTTTAAGTAATATAATTTTAATAATGTTTTTAAACTTAAATTTGTTATATAAATTCATTTAATTATTAAAAAATTAAAAAATAGACTGAAAAGCAATGCTGCTTAGATACTGAAGAAGTAAAATACAAATTGCTTGAAAATGATTTCTTCTAAAATGTTTCTACAGCTAGCATCAACAATAATTAAATTTCCAAAATTTTGCATTATATATAGCAGAATTTTATGGCAGTATTTTTAATTCAAATTTTTAAAAAAAAGCTCTTTTGAATTCATTCCTTTTTTATATACAATAAGAAACATAAAAATAACTAAAATTAATTACATCTGCACAATATTTATACAGCAGGCTTTAAAATCTACAAAATATACTCTCATCGCATAAGTAAAACAATACACAAAAGCAAACCCCCCCCAAAAAAAAATACTGACTTGAAATGAAAGTTTTGATTAATGGCAACATTTTCATGCACAGAAAAGAATATACTTTCAAACATATGACTTATTACAGCAAAGATTTAAAACTCTTTAATTTAGATTTAGTAGATACAGTGTATTACAAATGAATTAAAAATATACAAAATATAGTCATAAATGCAATTCACCACTACTGGTGCGTGATTTTCATTTAAAAACAATCAGAAAACATGGTTACAGAACTAATAAATTAAAAATTTCAATCCCCCCCAAGAAAAATTGAGTAATGGAAAATGAAATCATGTACTTACAATTTCTTCGATGCACTGCCTTAACAAGCAACGTTTAGTGGCATACTTCCATGAACCTGTTTTCTTTTTCTGAAGAAAATAACACATCAGAAATATAAAAGTGACTTTAAAGTACATAAAATAATAATAATAATAAAAATCACATAGGATACTTACAAGACACACTTCACACTCATCACAATCTTCAGTCCTCAAACAATTCTCACATATTCCACAATAAGAGGCTGCTTCATATTCATCTAATGGTTCAGTTTTAATTTCAATGTCTTTATACAAGCTTCTATTTTTAAACTGATTTTTGTCCTGTAGTAAAATTTAAATAATAATAATAATGAATACTCTATGTAAAATATAACATTTAATGTAAAAAAGTATTTCAAATTATAGTACAAATTAATACAGAGTAGAACAGGGATCCCCAACATTCTGCCTGCATGCACCATTGCACCTGCAGCTGGTGTTAACAGTGCTTGCTGCTGTATGACTAGATAAAAATATATTTAAATTTTCATTAAACTGTTATATAATGTTTATAGTTAGTAATTAATTACATAAATATATGCATGACTGTTTAAAAAATTATTTACTAATAATTACATGTTTATAAATTTAAAGGTTAACCTGTTTGTTAATTTTAAATGTTAATGTCTCGTAACCTTTTATCTGGTTACCAAACATTCCAATCTGACCACGTTGTCCCAATATGGGGGTATGGTCCCAGTGTTCTGGCCAGTTTGTCATTTGGCCCTGGTTATTTGCTATAAATTTTTAAAAAGCTAAATATACAACCATTAAAAATATTTTAATGTCTCCCTGAACTACTGTACAACCACCCAGTACTGTACTGTTAGTACTGTACAGTACTAACTGCTATACTGATGGTCCTGGGCTCGAATCTTGGAGGTAGCATGGGTTTTTTTAAGTGCACCGTGTCTGTTCAGCAAGAGGAACCCAAAATATATAGCAAGGCCATTCGAGTTGTTGATTCTAGAATATACTCTAAGGTACCTAAAAGGTCAGAATCCCTGTGGTAGATAAAGGCTACAGTAATATATATTACGGTTTTCATTTATTTATCAAAGGATAATTGTAAGATATTTTTTAAATGCATAATATTAAATTTCTCAAAATCTAGTGTCTCTTCAAACATTTTAACCATTAAATTTTAAAAAAGCATATACACTCTGAAACTAACTAGCTTAAATTTTCCTCTAAACTTTTCAGATATTACACATTTTTCTGTTAATCAAAGCGGATCTAACAATAATCATTAAAATTCAAGACTAAAAGTACTTTCATGTAGTAATCATCCCTCTTCACTTTAAACAAACAGATATATTTTGAAATTAAAGCAAGTGATTAAATCTAAGCTACATTAAGTACTTATAACTAAATACATTAAATAGCAGCAGTTAAAAATTATAGGTACACATTACAGAATCTTTCATACCTTTTTGGACACATAATAATCGCCATATTTAATTTTTTTCTGCTTCTTTTCGTAAGAAGGTGAATGATATTCCATTCGGTAATTTTCATAATTATGCTTCTTGGATGGTTTGCCATGCTTTTTTGCTTTAACTGAAAAGAAAGTGACAGTCTTAAAAGAACTCTAAAGCTTAGTACTATCACTATAAAGTTTGAAATTGTTTCACACTAAAAGAAAGGAAATATAACTATTCACTATATTCAACATATATTACAATCACTATTTAGTTAGAGACTGTAATGTATGTCGAATATTATCTTTTAAACATAATTCCTATTTTTAGCTCTACAGTAAATAACTGGATTTAATATTCTGAAAATAATATAAATATTGTCCATGCAATAAATTTATTGTAGTTATTGTGTTGAAATATTACAAATGGTCACAAGTTAAAAAAAAATCATTTTAAAATCAAGGTGCCAGTTTAACAATGCCAATATTTTATTCTGAATGTGCTACTTCTACGCCTGAAATACAAAATTAACGCTCAATGAATTTTAATTTGATAATTTGTAGAAGTTACCACATAAACACAATTTGGATGTTTTTGCTATGAGACAGCACATATCAAATAGTTTTCTACAGAAAGATATAATGCACAAACTTTGCCTACTCATCACCATTAACTTAAATGCATTAGCTTATCTCTTATGACAGTTTTCTTGTTTTAAGACAAATCTTAAAAAAAAAAAAAAAAAAAAAAAAAAAAGGAGGAGGTGTTCAGTCTATTCTACATTTACCAAAAAAATTAACATAAGAGGAACATTTGTTTATGATAGGAAAATTTTACCACAATTGAAATGGGCTGGTATTAAAAGCTCACTAGAAATGTAAAGTCGGCACAGATATCTTTAAGCAAAAAGTTCCTGGAGCATATTTTCCCATAATACAAAATATCCCACAAATCTATATCAAACATACTTCAAAAAAAGAGTTTCCCAAAGCACATGATATATCCCCCATAGAAGTACTTGAATCATCCAGACAGAATACAGCATTTAAGAACAAAAGCAGCAGTTATGGGGGTGCTAGTTTTATGGTAATAACGATATACAGTCAAAAGTCGTTAATCCGGACTCGTCGGGAGTTCGGCGATTCCGGATTATAGATCATCAGTTTAAATCTCGTAAGATGGCATGCAGAAATTCTAAAATTAAAAATATGAAATCGTAATTTATGAAATAAAGAACAATTATGATCTAAAGGGTATCAAAATTTACAAAAAAAAAAAAAAAAAGCTTAATATTTATTTGTTTACTTTATTAAACATTTCTTTCAATGTAAGTTGTTTAAGTTGCTTTGTTTTATGTGATAATACTTTCTCTTTAATTCAATAAACAGACATAACTTCTTGTTCAGTTACAAAGTTCCGCTGTTCAAGTTTTTCGTTTTCACTAACCTCTCTGTCACCTTCTTCATGTCTTTTATCCATTTTTTGCAGCAATTCCACTTTTTGTTTGATGGACATCAAAACATACTTTCGTTTTGTAGATCCTTTGGAAGTTCCAGCATTGGAAATTCTATTTGACATAATCAAAAGTTCAAGTTTACTTTTATAAAATTGGTCTTACAGTCTGCAAAAAATAATAAGCGGGATCCAATTCGAAGATTAAGGAACAACACAATCATTAACATTAACTGAAATAGATAATTAGATAATTTTAGCTTACACCGTCCGTTATACATTAAACGCGCAGGCGAAAACATATTCTGCACTTGCGCACACGCATATGCGCAGTCGTCAAGGTCTTACGCGCACGCATAAAACGCCTGTGCGCATGTGCAGAAAGTTTTTAGCTTTGAGGTTCGGATCATAGATCATTCCGGATTATGGGTGTCCGAATCAACGACTTTTGACTGTATTAGGCATAATTAATCTATCTAATCACTTAATTACATACAGTAAACCACCTTAAGTGTTGTTTATTAGGTTTTGATAAAACAAGGAAATCATTCATAAATTGTTGAAAGAGGTGATTTTCTTCTATTAATAAATCTTAATAGAAGTCCTAAATAAGATGTACTGTAAGTTCAATCATAGCAGTGATTAAAGATATTATTGCTATTATTTTTTACATGTTATAGTACTATCGTTACTATATTATTGTACTATACATAAACACATGGAACTACTCTGATATGCGCCCTCAAGTCGCTAAATTTCTCGCCAAATATTTTTGGCGAGAAACTTCACGCTGCCATATTACTATCTAAATTTTTTGTCTACATTTTGAACTTTTAGCCTAAAATGTCTCCAAAAATGTGGTTTTCGCACATGCAAAAACTATGTTTTGAACACACAATTTAGCTAAAAATCCGAAACAAAAACAAAAAATTTAGATAGCAAAAACGTAAAGTTTCTAACCAAAAATATTTGACAAGAATTCATGTACACAGCGACATGTTTTAACTTAAAAAAACATCTACGAATTGCACAATGTAGGCAACGAACGAATCTACAAACTACGCAGACCTCGCTTTAATAAATTAACATAACAACAATAAATTTCAAAGACTACCATGTACACAGCATCCTGTTTAAACTTAAAAAAAATTCTACGAATTGCACAATTTAGGCAAGGAAGGAATCTACGATCTACGCACTCCTCGCTTTAATAAAATAACATAACAATAAATTTCAAATAATACCATGTACACAGCGTTCTGTTTCAACTTTAAAAAACATCTACGTATTGTACAGTCTAGACACTAAACAACCAAATAAAACTAAAATAAATTTCAAACAATTTAAAAAACAACAATAACGACAGAAATTCATACTAAAGACCACCATGAACATAACATTCTACAAAATAAGAACAAGGATAAAATAAAATGCACTTACCATGAATTAATGCGTTTTTGAATAGCAGAAATATAAATTTCATACCGCCTTTAACATGCCGTCACGTAATCACTAACGTATTTACATGACAGCCAGACACACTATCCAGAAAATTTATACTATGGTTCACAAATAAATAAAATCACAAATCCCTACTTCTATCATGCGCTGCCATTAAAAATAATCTCCCAGACCCTCTTTCCACAGTTCCAAATACCCACTACCCCTCAACAGGATAGCCACAATCATATTTCCTTTTGCCGAACTTCAATTCAACAACTACCATTTTATCTTTCTCTCCCATCTTCTCAGACACAGAGGTGAACCAACGAGCTCCAGCGAAAGATTTTTCAACGTCAACAGGGTTGCCATAGAACACGCAATTGCGCCAAAAACCAGCGCAGAACACATATCGCCACATTTGGTGAAATTAGGGCGTATATTAGAGTTGTACCAAACACATTTTAATTATGAACAAAATAAAAATATTGAAGGAAAAAGGAACCCAGACAGATTATAATATTAATCAACATTTTAATTAGATGAACATTGACAGTGTTTGTATAAGGGGGAGAATAAAGCATAGCATATGCACATACACATACATACAGCGGAAGAGAGAGATGGCATCCTCATGGTGCACCTCCATAAGGGACAAACTACACATGCATCAGGAAACGCCAAAGTCTAAACCAAACTGCGGATACCCACTCAGCTGTTCTGTTTCCATGTTCTGCATATGCTATTACTTTCAATTTATAGCTCGTATCATATGAATACCTTTTATATTTTTTCCAATGCGAAACTAGCTACTAACAAAAATATTGTACGGTTACCGATAACACAAATCACTTTCAATTTCAGTTCACTGGCACAGAAGATAGCAATGATGCATCACAGGCTAGACAATAATCTGGGTTTGTGATGGCGGAGCAGGAGGAAGATAGTTTTGCTAGTTGCTGCCTGATACAGATAGGTTTCTCACAACATCGAATATATGGCCATTTTTAAGAATGGCGGGAATTTTAAATTAAACACTGAACGTTTTTGTATTAATTATAAGATGCACCTGCATTTTGGAGGCGATGTTTTGAGGGGGAAATGTGTCTTGTAGTCTGAAAAAATGGTATGTAATTGTTATGGTTGTAATCCAAAATTTTTGAGTTTGTCTAATTTTGCAAATCATAGAGAGAATTTCGCAAAGCATAAACATAGTCAGGAATGTTCCATGAAAATTTCTTCTTTTAAACTTTTGTTAATATAAACAATTATTACAAAATCTACAGTTCTTAGAGCTTGCTCTGGTTACTGGAGCAAAAGTTTCATTGAAATCGATTTCAGGTTTCTGCGTAAATCCTCCAACAACTAATCGAGCTTTTCTCTTTTAAACTGTTTCATCTGCAATACATTTCATTCTAAGAACCCAGAGACATCCTATTATCTTTTTATTTTGTGGTTGTTTAGCTAATTTTCATGCACCATTTTTAACAAGTGCTTCATATTCGCTTTGCAAGCCTTATGCCAATCTTCAGCATTAACTTCCATTTAACCCTTTGACGAGCGGTGGTCTGACCTCAACACATTTGCTCCCCAAGCTAGTATTGTGATTTTATAAATTATTTCCTGTGGTTTAAATTTAATGTAAATATACTTTGATGTAATTAAAAATAGAAATCATGTAAAGTTTTATTTAAATTAAAAATATTTTCTGAATATTTTGAGACGAAATACAAATAAAATAAGTATGAATGGGAAACGAATGATCCATACCAAAAGTCAAAAAGACCCAAGCCCCCCCCCAACTAACATAAAAAAATCCACAAATTTCATGTGCCAGATGAAAAGAAACTAAATAAACGCTTAACATATACCAATGAAATTTAAAGCCAATCAGTGTACATTTTATAGCACAAGGAAGAATTATCATAGAAGAAAATACATGTGTGAAACGTGCAATGTGGATGCATGTACCAAAAAGTTAAAACATGCTTTGAACAGTGTCACAAAAAATATTTGTTCTTTGAAATTTAAAAAATAATACATTGAGTCTATTTTTTAATCCTTATCTTACCGAGTTTTTTAAATCCATGTAGCCAAACATCCTTATTATGTAGGTACTTTCACTGCTATAGAAAAATTACATAAATGTTTATTTTTTAATTTTTTCTGTTGATTTAATTTGTAAAATAATGTAAAAAATGTATATATTATGCAACTCTTACATGCATTTTTTTAATTCGTAAATTT